ATACATTTGAATACATATCTTTAAATTGAAATTTAGCAATAACAGAAATGCTACACTTGTAAGATTTACATGTTATGTGCCCTGAGTTGTCAGCGTTTTTAAATCACATTGTAATGCCCAGTCTAAGAGAAAATTTATAATTTTAAACAAATATATTATTTTGACTTGGACACAGTTTGAAGCTATTAATAAAAAAAAAAATGGTGAACTTTATGTTTAAGTTAAGCAGTAGCAAAATAGTTCAATAAAAGAATGCAAGTAATAAAATCTTAAAAGCACGTTAAAAATAATCCACCTGAATTCTGCTTTTAAAAAAAAAAAATTTGACAGTTGCTCCTGATCTCATCAATGGGTCATCAAAAGACACAAGCTCTGAAAGTAGTCCAAATAAAAAGGCAAAGATGGAAGGTAATTGTGTGTGCAATAATCCTGAGGTGTTATTCGTTTCATATATTTAATTCATGCAACTTTTTATTTAATTATTCGTACTTTCTTCTTCTATATATTAAGGGCCCAAAATCAATTTATTAATTGTTTTGGCTCCTATGCATGTAGAGGGGATTTTCAATGTTTATGTGCCTGGTGTTGATGAGGATATTTCACTGGTTGCAAGGGCTACTTTGTGAGGGTATCATGCAGTGGGTTTGGAAGGCCTGAGGTAATAGACTCGAATGTGTCAAGTGTTTTCACCTCAACTGTTCCTTTTGAGAGCTTGTTTCAGTCCCTGATTGTCTTTGGCAGGAATAAGCAGTTCCTATACTGGTTTCTCGCTGATATGAGCCGGACTTTACTGTTTTGGCCTCGTTGTTGTCTATGGGGGAAGAGGGATGAGTTACTGTTTAATGAGGTATTCCTGTAGCGGTTCAGGACAAAGCGTGCTGCCCATCGCTGGACTGCCTCCAACCTGTCTATGCTCTTCTGGGTATATAGGTTCCAGACTGAAGATGCATAATCTAAAATCTGACGGACAAAGGCTTTATAGGCTCTTTCTTTCACACTGGAGTTTCCAATCTTTAGATTACGCCTTAAGAACCCCAGGGTCTTGTTTGCCTGGTTGCACACATTGTTAATATGCTTGTCCCAGCGGACTTATCTTTGAATGGTAACACCCAGGTACTTTATGGAGGAAACTGGCTCAAGTATATGACCATGCAGTTCGTATAGGTAGTGTAGAGGAGTACAACTTCTAGTGACTGACAGTGTCTGGCACTTGGCAGGATGAAATTCCATGTCCCAGATCATCTCCCACTCAGTTAACCGATTGAGATCCTGTTGTAGCTGGTCAGAGCTGTTGGCGATAGTCCTATACACTGCGGTGTCATCTGTGAATAGTCTTGCTTGGAATGTCAGTTTCTCGGTAGGGTCATTGATGTATGCTAGGAACAAACATGGGCCTAGCACTGATCCCTGGGGGATCCTTGACTTAACACTGACAAAGGAGTAGCTTGTACCGTCCACTACTACTGCTTGGCATCTTTTGCTGAGGAAGCTGGAGATCCATGTTTTAGTAGTGCCTTGGATCTCATATCTCTGAAGTTTGTGTAGAGGCAAACTATGATTGAAACGGTCAAATGCCTTTGAGAAGTCCATCACCAGCATGTCAGTTTGCTTGCTGTTCTCAAGATTGGTCATTAAGTCTTCTACAAATTAAAGGAGCTGGGTCTTACATGATCTATTGACTCAGAAGCATGTTAACAGTCATTGAGTATATTTTGGCTTTCAAGATGCTTCATGACTGCGTTTATGATGACTGCGTTTATGATTATGTGCTCCAACAGTTTGCATACCACGCTGTTGAGGGATAGTGGACGATAGTTGGCAATGTCGGAATGCTTTTCTTTTTTGTTGATTGGTGTGACATGTGCTGTTCTCCAGTCTGCTGGAACATTGCCTGTACACAGCTACGACTGGAAGAGGATTGTTAGTGCAGGAGCAATGTCTTTGACTAATTCTTTGAGCACTCTCGGTTTGATATTGTCAGGACCACATGCTTTGTAGGGGTTAATGGTTTTGAGGAGGGCAAGCACTACCTGCTCTGAAATATGTATATCTTCCATGACTGGGTAGGCTCTGTTCATCATGTTGGTCTTCAAAAGGAATTCAGCCTCCTAGTACTCTCTACCGTCACCAAAGACCGACTGGAACTGCTAAATGAGTATGTCAGTCTGTGCTTTTGGGTCAGATTTCAAATGGCCATCCAACCTCATGGGGGAAACTCCAGTGTTTGAGGACTTTTGGTGCTTCACATAGCTCCAGAAGCGCTTGTTCTTGACACCCTTGGTTGTAGTGTTTTCCTCTGAGAAGATGCCATTCAGGTAGTTCCAGTTAGATCTGCGCAGTAAGTGTTGAATTGTTCGGCGGAGCCTCAGTACCTCCTCTCTCAGTTCAACCGAGACTGAATTCAAAATAACAGCAAGTTATTTTCAAAATGAAAAACAGATTAGCTGTTCAAATGGAACCAGTATTTTTTTATTAATTTTTTTATGTGCATTTCATTTTGAAAATTATTGATGACCCAAAAACTTTTATTTCTCCTTAAAATTAGATATATTAACCATACAGTATCACTTAGTGTAATGGACAAAAAAAGTCCAACATATTGTTAATATTGCTTCATTTAATGTGGTTATCCTGTCTCTCAAGTAAGTGATATGGGTTTGAATATCTCCTTTGTCGCAATGTAGGGTAGCTATTCTTGGGGAGGAGAGGTAATCCCTGAGTAAAAAGCCTCAACCACCTTAGTTGACAGATAGCAGCCAACTTGGCATGAGATTGGTTATTACTGTCTTCAAAAAAAAGTAGCTGTCGTCTTTACCTGTTAAAATGAGTTAGTTGTTGGATGTAATATGTATGTTTAAATGTCAGTAGATCTCCTTTATTTACCCTTTAAAAAACATATGTTAATGATTTTTTTAAAAAATTCAGTAGTATTTTTTCACCTATAAGTTATTTGTGTTTACAAGCGTCCTCACTTATGTTAAACCCTTATCTCTAGTGCATCATAAAATCTATTTGCTCAGAATTCCTGAAGTGCCTTGAATGATCTCCCTTGTAACATTTTATGGACAGCAGTTTGTAATCAGTGTTTCAAGAATTTAATTTTTAAAAATTCTCAGTGCTGAATGTCATTTTAAAAATAAATAAAGGTTAAATTTGAATTAGTGAAATTAAAAATTAAATAGAATTTTATGTTAATGGGCATATAGCCTCTCATCTAATAAGACAGGAAAAAAATAGTAATGTTTTAACAAAATTTCAGATGATGCCAGTGACTGTTCAAATATAATCTTTGGCCTATCAAAGGGTATCAACTTAGTTCTAAGAGACTCATCGTTAGGAGATGAGCAGCCAGCAACAGATATTGATGCTAACAGTGAAAAGGCTACTAATGAAGAGCTCCAGAACTTCCAAAACAACATTTTTTTTATCAAAACATCCGACACTTCTGATGATGAACTACAGCTGGACAACACCCTTTTCTCTACAGCATTGATTAGTTCTCTTAAAGGCAATAAAGAAATACAAGAAAAATTCCAGATTGCATTCCTACAAGGCTGTCCTACTGCACAAATTGATGGGGGTGCTAAAACTTTGATGGGAGATTCACCATACTTGAGAATGGAGAATGGTTCGAAGCTCACCTCACAACTTGGTGAAAGTATTGCCCATGACTTGCCTGATGAGTTTGGAACTAACACAGATGGTATCGATAGTTTGGGTGATCTGTGTCAGAATCATGAAAGTATAGAGAGAATATGCAACAATGATGAATATGACATGGCATCTCATGAAAACAATCATTCAACACTTCTACCCAATACTTCTTTTGATGAAAATTTGGCTAACATTTAAAACAATCTTTATTTATTGTTACGATGTTGTGTACAGTTGATGTAAAATTGCAACCATTTTATTTAATTAACAGTTTCAATTTTCTTTGTTAATTGAGTACACATTGGCAATGCAAATGTAACTAGCAATTATTTTAGTTTGAATTACTCTAAAATGTGTGAACAAAGTAAATTAATGTTAAATGAATAATCATGAAGTTGTTTTATGACATAAATATACCAAATTTGAGATAAAAATTTGTTACCGAGAGACTTTCCCTTAGGGAAATTATATGACCTATTCAAGATTGAGTTTATTTGTCTCTAAAGATGTTAGTCCATGCATGATTATTTATTACATTGTGATGTCTTTCAGTCTTATAAAAAAAATAAGAACGAAGCCTTCTGTCTCCAAGTGCAAAATTAAAGTGTGATATTTTAATGGTTCATAAAGATAGGATTCCTCATTTTTTTTGTTTAAAATTTGATGGTTGTAATAAAAAGAATGATAGTTGCATTTCTAATTTGTTACATTAAAAATGATGTTCATCAGGTTTAAAAAAAAAATATTTTTTTATTCAATATGCTTCTCAATTCAGTGCTTTCTGTGTAATGAAACATTTGAATGATTGTGCACAAAGTTTATTGCTAGATCATCAACTTCATATCTACAAGTTGAATATTTTGTGACTCACATAACAGATAAACCATGCATTCAATCTACAGGGTTATCTGTAGATTAAGTAAGGTGGGGAAAAAATAAAATAACTGATATCTTGTTGACATATTTGTCATTGGGTCAAGTTGCCAAGACTGTTACAATAATTTAACCAAATTGCTTAGCCATCATTCAGCAGTGCTGATAGCTCAGATAGTGTGAAGATGATCTGTTCTGTGATAAATTGTAAAAAAAAAAAAGGTTTGTAGAAGTGTGCGTGTGACAATGCTAGTTACCGAGGGTAAAAGCTTAAAGGTTGTCTGATTTTAAAATGTTACCTTGTTAATTTCAGATTAAAGTTGCTACTGTTGTTAAATTTGTGTTAGTATTTCTTGTTAAGTTGTACATGCCAATGAACTCACTGGAAAAAAATGATTGGAATGGACTATATGTTATTGTTATATTTTTATATTATTAATTTTTTGGATACATTTTTTTTTAAACCAGAGACTGAATTAATCATTAAGTTGTGTTTATAAAATATATGAAATGGTTAATAAATTATTTATTGCAATCAAATTTCTTCACACCTGTTTCCCAAAGCTTATCTTACTGAAATCAACAAAAAGGAGATGATCCAGCAAATTCAGCATTTATTTTTCAACATAATTTTCAAAAAAAATCTTTTAACAGTAACAATTTCAAATAGCCTACTTATTAAACTTATATTCACTGCAACATGTAATTAAAAAAAATTATATCCTTGAAGAAAATCAGTTCAAGTAATTACAATATCACCTTCAAAACTAAAAACACTTATCTGTGCAGGTAAAAATTGGTGGTAGATAAAGCCTAATATGTAATCTTTATGTGTAACTCATGCATAAAAAAATTATTTAAAAAACAAAACGAAGCATATTTTTTCAAAACAAAAGCAAGCCAATCAAGTAAATTTTTCTAATAAATTGTGATAAATTAATAAAATCACACAAATATTTTAAGAGATGCAAGTTGATATGGCATGATGATATTATTATGATATTACATAATTATAAAAATCATGTTCATTTTGGTCGCAGATTTTTACAAAAAAGTAAATAGAAATTTAATTAAAAAATATATAGAAACAAAAATGTGTGGTTAGTTAAAAGTAACAGAATGGAAATGATTGCATTTTGTAACTAAATATTTTTTTAAGGCTGTGGTGTGAAACGCAGGTACTCCTTGCCCGAAGGGAGTCCATGAAGCTCTAAATCAGGGAAAAGCTGTTTTGCCTCATCCTTAGGTATTGATGGCAAAACCATGCATTTATCCCCACTTTTCCAATCCACTGGGGTGGCTACCTTCTTGGTGGCAGTCAGTTGCAGTGAGTCTATCACTCTTAAAATTTCACTGAAAAATGCAAATGAAATATAAGGGGAAGTTTAAAATGTCCAGTTTTTATAATAAAATTAATCCTACTTATTGCTGTGAGCCTTAAAATTGGAATTATTTATTGCTGTGAGCCTTAAAATTGGAATTATAATATTTTGATGAGTTAGAGAATTTCAGAAAACGTTTGGTTGTTTTTTGTTTGCATGTCTTAAAAGAAAATGCCAACTATTTGTTGATTTCTAAAATGTTTTTTTCTGAATGAAAAAGTTGTTTATTTTACAAAACATTCAGTTACTTGTAATTGTTTCATTACAGTTTTCTAAGCATGTGATCATACTCTACAATCTACATTAGTACTCACTTGAAATTTCGTCCTGTTGTTGCAGGATAAAGAATGGAAAGCTTGAGTTTTTTGTCTGGTCCAATAATGAACACTGCTCTTGCTGTAAGAGGGAGCCCCTCTTTGGTTTTCTCATCTGGGTCAATCATACCTAGCTGTACAGCTAAGTCACGATTTTCATCTGCAATTATTGGGTATGGAAGCTTATCAGCCGTACTTTTTGCATACTCAAGTACATCCTGAAAAACAGTTAATATTTTATTGAAATTTTTTTACAGCCAAATATCACAGATCCACCAATGAAGAACTTTAAAAAGTAAAATACAAAGGAGTCAGTTTCCCTTTTCTGGATGGAGCTAATTATTTAAATGCTTTGGCCAAATCATATTTGAATTGCTCTTATTTTAGAACATAATAGGACATTAAGTATAAACAAGAGATAAAAAGTAAATTTCATTAATTTTTTAAAGATAAATACAGTAGTTTAAATAAAGCTCTTCTTGGTTATAATCTAGTCCTAAAAGTTCAGTTAATAAATAGTCCAATATAGAATACTTGTATAGTCTAAAATAAAAAAAATATATGAAAACAAGAAAGATTATGGCTTTGTTTCAAGGTTGTGTTTTCAAGATAATGATTTTTTTCTATGTCTTTTTTTTTTACTCTGATCATTAAGGAGCATTTTTATAATCCAGAACTGAACAGCAACTAATTACCATACATGATTTAAGTATAGCAAAGGTAACACATATAAAGTTTGCTATTAAAACATTACAAAACAACAAGGATCTGACAAGGATAAGTTATGCTTGATGAAGTTTAAAAAAATAAAAATAGACCAAAGTACTATCTGCAAGGAGCATAGAAATAAGTTATGACTAACACAACTGGAAATTTCATGTACCAGGATATGGGAACAGTTGCTGTAGATATAAAAAATATGTGCAATGATGTCTGACTGAAGTAGGGGTTATAAATGGTTGTAGAGAGAACCCATAAAAGCTGCTATTTAAATTAGTAAATGAGAACAGTCCCTTAAATAACTTCTAAATCTTTTATTTAAGCTATCTTTTTTAAGCAGCCTATAGAGAAAATAGTAAAAGCAACAGCTCACTTACTTTACTCCATCCTATGTGGCTTTCAACACCATCACAAGACAAAGCGATAAGTTTTACATTTCTCTTCTTAAACTCTGGTTCTAGGGTTACTACTCTCGCTAACTCTGTCGTGCAGACTGGGGTATAGTCAGCGGGGTGAGAGAAAAGAATCGCCCATCTAAAAAAAATTATATATTAATTTTTAATAAGTTGATTTAAGTTATATTTCTATTGATAACTGACTTTCCAATATCTTTGAAATTGATAGTATGAAAAGAAAACTTGAAACCTTACCTTATACAGTGAAACATCACAATAAAGCAATTATTGAGGTCCATTAAATCAGATCGTGATAATGGGGAGTTTTGCAATATATCTCACCTAACCCTGCCATTATTACTATTTCCCAAATGTGACTGAAACGCCCACAAACATAAACACCATAATGGTCTTTTGAGAAACCGTGATTCCATGGGAATAGTATAGATATTTTTAAAGCTAATAAAGCACACTTTTTAAAACTTCAACTGTTTGAATCTAATAAGACAGGAAAGCTCAGCCCCATGTTGGTGGCTTTCATTCTTTGATGGTTATTAAATTGTTTGAATCTTTTTATCAACCACTGCTTTATCTTCTGCCTCACTGTGTATGAAATTGTGCTAATTTTTAAAAACTTTTCTAAAAGGATGTCAGCTATTGCTGTATTTTATTATATTCAAATTAATATGGGAACTCATCCCAAAATTAAATTAAATTATTTTTTTACTCTTTTTCATATAGATTACTTTTTTTCATATGCATTACTTAAAACAAAAATATTTTATATGTGAATTAATATAATAAACATCAGGAGCCCTGCCATGACCCAATGCTATCCCCGATTTTGAGTTATTACAAAGCTTCTACTGTATTTAAACACTTAACTTATTACTAAAATAGCACCTAGTATGAAATATGCTTAAAACATTTACCATGCTCGTTACATTTGCAGAATAAGTTAGTAGCAAGATCAAATTAAATTTTATATTTTAAGAGTGTTGGACTGTGATAAAGCTTTCAAGTTGATTAATAAGACTAACAATTTGTGTAAATAAAACGATATTGGTTAAGCTTTAATAATGATTACACAGAACACAAAAGCAAACATTCATCAAACCAAAAAAAAACCCACCAATTATTTAAGTATAAATTAAATTTACAATATCTATATATATCTATTATATATATCTATATCTATCTATATCTGTATATATATATCTGTATCTATCTATATGTATATATATATATGTATCTATCTATCTATCTATCTATCTATCTATCTATCTATCTATCTATCTATCTATCTATCTATCTATCTATCTATCTATCTATCTATCTATATATATATATATATCTATATATCTATATATATCTATATATCTATATATATCTATATCTATATATCTATTTATATATATCTATTTATATATATATATATATATCTATATGTATATATATCTATTTATATATATATATATATATCTATATGTATATAAATATATATATATATATCTCTATATCTCTCTCTATATATATATATATATATGTATATATATATATGTATATATATATATATATATATATATATATATATATATATATATATATATATATATATATTTTTATATATATATATATATATATATATATATATATATATATATATATATATCTATATATCTCTCTCTATATATATATATATATATATATATATATATATATATATATATATATATATATATATATATATATATATATATATATATATATCTATCTATATATATATATATATATATCATCTATATATATATCTATATATCTATATCTATATATCTATATATATATCATCTATATATATATATATTATTTATATTGTCATCTATATATATCTATATCTATATATATACATATATATATATCTATATTTGTTCGTCCGTCGAGGATCGACGATGACCATCGAGTCGTCTGGTGACTGATGACTTGCGCTAGTGACTTTTGTTTAAAGTGAGGAAGAGTTGTGCGGCGTCAACTTCACTCTCTCGTCCGAGCCCACCGTATCCAGTGGCAAGACTCTACGTCAAGACGACCAGGGATGGGTACGGTTGCAGGAATTGACATTGTATGCGTCTTACGGGACTCCAACTCAGGGTTTGAATTCAGAGTTTCCTTCTCTTAGATGAGTTGCCGACCAAGGTCCCCCATAGCATGTAAAGAGTGAATCCGGAAAATTGGGCGGAAGAACCACTACTTGGTCAACGGACAAAAGGGGGAGACAGCACAGTGGTATGAATCGCTGAGAACATGGCCAGACACGTAGAACGCCATGGTCATTCACTGCATGGGTGACTGGGTGGCCGAATGGTCTAAACTGAGCAAACCTCAATTTCAGCCAAAGGCCAGTCAAGCAAAACATATCTATATATATACACACATATATACATATATATATATCTATATATATACCTATATATATATATGTTTCCTACCTATTGTATTTTACAGGCCTTCAGTAACTTCTGATATAAATAAGCCGTTTTAATTTTTTTTTTTTTAAATAGTTTTTTTGTTTGTTTCCACTTCGTATTTAAAGCAAGACATATCAATAATTTATAAGATGTGCAAATCCATCACACCCTGTGTCTCAAGTTCAAAGAAAGCCGACCGACGGGCTAGATCTGTGTACCAGTACTCTTATTTGTCAAGAATCATGACGTTGTGATTAGTTTTTTTCACCGTGCGTGAGTAGTGTGTAAGTGGAGACGAGTCATGACGTGAAGGTACATGATTGGTAGGTTAATGTTTTCATATTATTGATTAATAAGTGATTAGTATAAATGAAGATCAAGTTTTGACCTCCATTAAGAGTTTCTTTAAAAAATAATAAGACGTTGCACTCAAATCACGGTGTCAACTTTTAATTATGCCAAAAACCTACATATTAAAAATATGAGTAAATCCGTATTTTGATAATCAAATACCTTAAGTTTAAGACACAGAAAAATTATTTTACTTCTATTTTGTGATAACAATATTAATAATTTACATTCAACTCATAATTGATTTTTGAGCTATTTTGTCTAAGGCTGAATTTCCCAGTTTGTCCATAAAGTACCTAGCCAAAATTTACATGACTGCATGTCCAAATCGTTCTGTACCGTACTTAGCCAAACATTTACATGACAATTTAAACATTAAAAAAAGTTGTACACGTCAAACCAATTCCATTGAATTAATAAGTTTTTGTTAATGGTTTATTTTCCCAGGTTGATAGAAAGAAATGGGGGACCCTGAAAAAAATAAACCTAAATTTGAAAAGCACATGAAACTATCGGAAACTAAGACATCTGTTTGGCATCATTTCTTGAAAGCTATGGACAATCTCTCAGTAAAATGTATTAGATGTAACAATATACTTAAAACATTGGGAGATACAAATTCAGGCCTTGACTCTCATTTAAGGTCTGCACATTCTAGTGACTACTTGGATGTATTTATAAGGCCAGATTGCGACCAGATCCGAAAACATATCGTGGATATTCAAAAGCTAGACCAGACAGCGGATTCCTCGTTGGAAATATCTCGAACAATGAAATTGAACATCTTGGATCTGAGCATGACGAACTTGAAGAAACACTGCCGCTTAAGAGACAATTAGAAATTGAAATACAAAAGAAACTTCAGGCAGGATAGTACTACTAGATTAACGGTTGGAGGTATTGATACATTGGTAAAAATAGAAAAGGCTTTATTTGAGAATGGCGGTTCAAGAGGAAAATATCTAGAAATTGCTTATGATAGCCTAAAGTCTATTCCTCCGACCAGTGTGGAGTCAGAGCGGGTGTTCTCTTAATCAGGTTACTTTTGCAACCACTTGCGGTCAAAGTTAAGTGACGAAACATTTTTACGATTTCATTATTTAAATTTGACCAAAGGTTAAAACAACAACAATTATTTTAATATTTGATTAAAAAAACTATTTAAATTAAAAGTTAAGCATATTATTTTTGCTCGTTTGATTAAAGTCTGAACATAAACGTGTGTTTAAAAGCTTATTAAAATTCAAAATGTGATATTTTTTCTAAATTTTTTTATTTCATTGATAAATTCTCACCTCTAATCTCAACTAAAAATTCTCTAAATATAAAAACTACCAGGATTCCGGTATTTGTAAACTTCAATATCGAAAATTCTGGTTTTGGCAAAAGCGCGGGACCGGTTTTGCGACCCTACTGTCAATATGATAAGTTACAAGCAGGGGATGGATGGGAATGTGGATAGGTAGCATGTGGGTAGACTATGACTAGAGTTTTGGATAGTGTAAACGCTTTAGTTTTAGGCTTTAGAAGAATTAATAATATAGACTACAGAACAAAATTAATGAAATATCCAAAACAAGAAGTCAAGTAGGTCTAATAATATATTTTTTTTTACTTTTAAGATTTAACTGTCTTTTATGCCCTAATAATAAATAGTCATAATGATGTGTGGGCTAAATCCGAGGACGGCTGCCACAGCGTCTTTTGTGCGTTTATTATAGTTGCAGTGAATTAGGGTTTAGGTTAGGTTGAGGGATTGATTTAGGGTTCAGGTTAGGCATAGGGATCGATTTAGGGTTCAGGTTAGGCATAGGGATCGATTTAGGGATACATTTGTCAACTTTGTGAAATTCAATAAAATAAATAGTGGCAGTCGTCCCCATTTTTTACCGATGCTTGAATAAACAAAAACTATCGAATTGTCCATTTGCCATATAAATATAATATTAATATTGTGTATTTTATAGCCTGTCACTGTCACACTTTGACTTGGACTTTAAGAAATAATTAAAAAGGAACGTCAGTAGTAGTAACGGCTAAGCTGAAACTAAAAAATAGTGTTATTGATGAACTTTCAAATCATTTGGAATTGGGAAGCGTTATTCACACAGCTCTGTGAATAACGTTTAGCGTTATCGGCAGAACGAAATCTGTGAATAACGGCAAGCGTTATCCACACAGCTCTGTGAATAATGTTTAGCGTTATCGGCAGACCGAAATCTGCGAATAATCATATAATGCATTAGAACTAGACTGGTGAAAAATTATTGTTGGGTGTAGGCTATTAATATTACTATTAGTATACTGAACCGTCACGAGTTATTATCTAATTTTTTTCACTATCAATTATAAAAAAGGGCAAATTTATTACTAATATTAGTATGGTAATATCTGTATACCGCTAGTATAATAGTAATAGCCTATTACTATACTAAATATTATGCAGTATAAAGTATATACACAATTGTAGTATAAGTAATATACTTAGTTACTTAGCTTAATCAGTATACGCATACATGGGCGCCCGCATTACTGTAGCGTATTTGTATGGTGAACGAACGGACAGGACATCAGCTTAGTTACTTTCTCTTTATTTTCTCTTTACTTTAATACATTTTTTGTCTAAATTTTTTTGGCTATCCAATCAATCTAAGGGGTGGGGGGGGGGCTAGTGCCCCCCACTTGCCCCTAAGTGCAGGCGCCCATGTACGCATACGAATTTATTATTGGGTGATAATTAATGGGTCTATAATGCAGAGCGTTATTGTTAGACAGAAATTATCCTATAAGTACGCACATTTCTAGATGACATTCCAAGCTGGGGTGGGGGTGTAGTTTTAAGTAGTGTAGGAGATTTGGATCTTTAAAGAATCTTTAATGAGTATGGCACAAGCACATTTCATAACCGTAGCTATGCACAAATTAAATTTTAAAAAATTTAATAGGCCTAACTATAGCCTATATATTGAATATAGGACAATCAATTGTGCCTACATCTGCTCTGTTAGGGGCCAACATAGGGTCTATTCGACCTATAGAGTGTTACTAATATATCCAGTCAAACCTCCTACTCCTAGACATAACTAATTTTCTGGTAGGCCTATTTCATATTAAATATTATACCAGTAATAAAAATTGTACCTGTACCGGTATTCTTCATGTAGACTCACTTTCACCCATTGTAGAGAGGTCTTAAAATGATGTCAAAGCTTGATAGGGTATCGTTTAGTGTTTTAAAAGCCCTATGATATATCACCTAGTCAAGAATTGTTCTGTCAGGAATAGCCCATGCAGAGAGGTGGCAGCATCAGGCGGCCATGTGAGAGACGGGGAGGGGCATATTGGCCCTACATTGATAATAACAGAATGTTAAAGTTTAAGGCTATTTTTTTTTCCTCATCCTTGAGCGTGTCCCTAAGTCTACCCAGCTCTGGCGTTAGCTGGTCAAAAGTAAAGGTGGCTGGTTAGTGCGCTGGCCATACACTCAACATTAGCTGGTCAAAAGTAAAGGTGGCTGGTTAGTGCGCTGGCCATACACTCAACATTAGCTGGTCAAAAGTAAATTACTGTAGCGTATTTGTATGGTGAACGAACGGACAGGACATCAGCTTAGTTACTTTCTCTTTATTTTCTCTTTACTTTAATACATTTTTTGTCTAAATTTTTTTGGCTATCCAATCAATCTAAGGGGTGGGGGGGGGGCTAGTGCCCCCCACTTGCCCCTAAGTGCAGGCGCCCATGTACGCATACGAATTTATTATTGGGTGATAATTAATGGGTCTATAATGCAGAGCGTTATTGTTAGACAGAAATTATCCTATAAGTACGCACATTTCTAGATGACATTCCAAGCTGGGGTGGGGGTGTAGTTTTAAGTAGTGTAGGAGATTTGGATCTTTAAAGAATCTTTAATGAGTATGGCACAAGCACATTTCATAACCGTAGCTATGCACAAATTAAATTTTAAAAAATTTAATAGGCCTAACTATAGCCTATATATTGAATATAGGACAATCAATTGTGCCTACATCTGCTCTGTTAGGGGCCAACATAGGGTCTATTCGACCTATAGAGTGTTACTAATATATCCAGTCAAACCTCCTACTCCTAGACATAACTAATTTTCTGGTAGGCCTATTTCATATTAAATATTATACCAGTAATAAAAATTGTACCTGTACCGGTATTCTTCATGTAGACTCACTTTCACCCATTGTAGAGAGGTCTTAAAATGATGTCAAAGCTTGATAGGGTATCGTTTAGTGTTTTAAAAGCCCTATGATATATCACCTAGTCAAGAATTGTTCTGTCAGGAATAGCCCATGCAGAGAGGTGGCAGCATCAGGCGGCCATGTGAGAGACGGGGAGGGGCATATTGGCCCTACATTGATAATAACAGAATGTTAAAGTTTAAGGCTATTTTTTTTTCCTCATCCTTGAGCGTGTCCCTAAGTCTACCCAGCTCTGGCGTTAGCTGGTCAAAAGTAAAGCTGGCTGGTTAGTGCGCTGGCCATACACTCAACATTAGCTGGTCAAAAGTAAAGGTGGCTGGTTAGTGCGCTGGCCATACACTCAACATTAGCTGGTCAAAAGTAAAGGTGGCTGGTTAGTGCGCTGGCCATACACTCAAACTTGTAAACCCAGCTTCAATTTCCCCATGGGTAGGCCAATATGATCTGAAGGGGAACTTTTCTTCCCCTCCCCAAGACTCGCAATGCATCCTACGACCAGCAAGTTTCCAACAAATTTTTAATGCTTTTTTTTGTATTTAGACCCATAGTTTCAACAGTGGCAGTATGGCTTTTTGTATTTAGACCCATAGTTACAACTGTGGCAGTATGGCTTTTTGTTTCAATTATCAACATTTTTTTGACAAGAGCTAAAATTGTTGATGTCAATGATATTGATATGTTTTAAGTACGGTACCGGTATGTTCATTTCATTGTCATCACTAAATGTTATTTCAACTATTTCTGGAGCGGCATATTGTGTCCCTACTTATTATGATACTTATTAGAAAATAAAATGAAACAAATAAAACGTGACATATTTTTTCAGCTAAACATTAATGCACAACTCTGATATCTAAAATATTTGAATAAGTAAGTTATTAATAAGTATTTGTTTATTAGAGAAAAAACAAATGGATGTCAAAATCTATGAGTTGAATTATACAAAGAAAATTAAACAGTCAAAAGAGCTAAAAGTATATCACAATGTACAGTTAGAACAGCTGTATCTGACTTAAACATGGTTTATGCGGCTGATCTGCATGTCCATGTTGTTTACATTTTTTTAACGAACTTGAATGAACATTCTAACAAAATAGATTGAAACTTGTAACATAAGTAACAAAACTATATGAAAATAATAATATAACTATGTGAACAGAAAAAGAAAGCTATAGGAAGAATATTATTATAATATAACACTACCAAATAACCATTAAAATATTTTTTTTTTAAATTTTCTTTATAAAAATGAAACTTCCCCGACGGGGAATCGAACCTATGATACAATGTCTGCTGGGTGACGGTCGGAGATACTGACCACTACACTACCGAGGAGATGTGTAAATATGAACTTTGTATTTTATATTCATTATTTAATGTATCACATTCTGTGAATAACGTTTAGCGTTATCGGCAGACCGAAATCTGTGAATAACGGCGAGCGTTATCCGCACAGCTCTGTGAATAATCACTTCGTTTGGAATTTGGGCTTTAACTTTAACTTTAGGCCTACTTGAAATATACCCGGTAGGCTACTAATGCTACTGAGTGGGCTACAGTTATCCTTGCAGTTTAATTTTAGCCAATTTTACAACAAGTTTCAACTTTACATAAAATAAAAAGTTCATTAAATCATTTGTGACTAGTCTAGAACTAGATTGCAGTTTAGTTCAGTTTACTCCACAAAATGAAAATACATGTAGTAGTTTAAACCAAATTGGCAATAAAAATATTCAAATAAGGCTATAAAGAAGTGTGTAGGAAAATACTCACGATGATCCAATCCAATCGTGAAATTTTTCAATCCTGCCATCGGATGTATCCGCTGAAAAGTTAGGAAATATATCTCCAAGATTGACCATTTTCAAGTTTTGACTAAACGCGTCTGCTGTGTCTTTAAAATGCAAGCCACTTCCTTTGCTTTGCTCTGTATTTATTCATAGGCCCCGGCAATTGACCTTTGAACTCAGTCCCCACCACGGTAGTAAAAGGAAAAAAAAATATTATTTACTACTAGAAGAAATGACCCGATGTTATCGGGATAATAATGGTAGGTACTTTGCAATAATTTCTAACACAAAACTGCTATTGCAAAAACTCATCCAAATTCATAACTTTTAAAATATAATGATATATTTACGTTTATAATAATCATTATCATTAATAAGTTTTGAGAAGTGTTTGTCTGCTATAAATGATTCACGTACCCTATTCCATTTCACGCTCCTAAACTACTTTTTCCCCTCTAAACATGACCTTAAATTACCCAGTCCAAATTATCACTAATTATATCAATTTTGTCACTAAAGAAGTTAATTGAGGGACAATTCCTACGCTAGAGAAATACTTTACATTTACTCCTTTTCGTGCCCTTGAATTACAACTTTTTTTCTCTAAAAATTGTTAAAAAACCTAATCTTATTTTTACAACAAAAACTCTTTATATGATATAAATATATTTTGTATTACAGGAATTCGATATATATTGATATCTTCATAAAAAATGTTAACACATTTTAGCCTTTTTTGTTAAAATATACATTATCAGAAAATCGTAAAACAAAGAATTCTTTTATCTAAAGAAAAATCTCGAAACCGCTTTTCACGCCTATCTTAGATTTAACCGTCTTTAAACTTTAAAAAAAAAATTAATTGTTAATCTCATAAAAACACACACCTCTTTACTTTTGCAAATTAAAAACAAAAATATATTTTCATTTTTGAAATTAAATATTAACCCATATCTATGTGGCAATGTGCCATTATTTGCAACTGCTTTTAGGTAACACTTTAAATAAAGCAGTTTGCAACAGATAGGAATAACAGAATCCACTCTCATAGTCATAGTGTGACTGCTACAGGTAAACCCAAGCTCGTACACCTCAATGGTCATTTAAAGTAACCCACAGCTGTGTACTGGTCGTAAATTTTATGTTGGTTATTTACACGCGGGAATAACCATCCTTGCCCCGGGGTTGACCTATGGTCAGCTCGGGACGCGGGTTCCCTGTGACTGTGTGGGGGGAGTGCGAACTGGGACTTGGAGTGTGTACATTTTGAGATTGTGGTGTGGAACGGATGCGTCGGGTCGGCGGCATGTGTGAGAGATCTTACTGTCGGCTCTTTCAACGGATTGTACCTTACATTAAAAAGCTATAGTTCTCAGACCTGATTGTTTTATTGTGATTTTATTTAAACTGTAAGCTACGTCACCACTCGGCTACAGTTTTGGCGCTGCGAGCAGGGTTCTTTGAGGACAGTTTTAAAGAAAATTTAACACGTCATAGACAGATCAACCATAGACCGACCGATGGAGAAAAGTGCCGTAGAACAGTTTCACCTAGCCAACAGTCTACCCAAGCTGTCCAAATTTAATGGCGAGTGCAATGCGGAGCAGTTTGTGAAGGAAGTAAGGCTATTCCTGCAACTTCAGCCGATGCCCGCAGCCTCAGCGGTCATCTGAATAATAGGTGCCCTGGAGGGACGTGCTCGTCAGGACATTTCGGACCAAGCTGTTGCTACGATAGACACTCCAGATAAACTACTGCACTTGATTTTGCAGAACTGGGGTGGTCATCGTGACATCACAACTCTAGCGGCCGCATTCTACCGTAGACAACAATACCTTGGGGAAACTGTCGAGGACTATGCGAAAGAATTGCGCAACATCTTCATGTTAGCCAATTCTGCACGACCTGGCATTCTCCCAGAAGACATACTGCGTGACGTATTCATCCAAGGTCTCCAACCACCCGCCCTACGCAGATATGTCAAGGCCTACGCATGGCTACACACTGGCCGCTCATTTGATGACGTCCGTAGGGAATCACAACGGTGGATTGGATGCGTGAGTACATTTCTGATGTCCCCCACCGCCCAGCTCTCAGCATCACCGTCACCTTACCTGACACAGCTGACAACACAACTTATGGCTCGTATCGACCATCAAGTAGCAGCATGGGCTGCAAGGTATCACCCTCCATCGTATAAGCCTGAAAGGGACCGCGACGTCCGGTTTACCGAGTCTACACCAGCACCTACACATCAGCGACGACATAAGCGCAAGCGACAACCTACACACACGGATGTGTTATGTCGTTGGTGTGGTCGTAGAGGTCACACAGAGCAGGTATGCTGTGCTAAGAGAAATTACATTTCTCAAAGAAGTGGACAACCACAACATCTCCAGAGGCGACGGTCAAAAAGAAAATGCAAGACACCATTTAGCCATGATGCTGCTCACGACCAGCCGACTGCTGGTCAGCATGTGTCAACATATTATGCAAGAGAACCTGGTCAGTCTAGCCCTACTGTTGCTGGAACTAAATCTGAGAATATGCGATCCACAAACTCAGACACAAATACGATTCTTAAACTTCAACCCGAAAGTGTGACTAATACAGCTGGTCATATCGACAGTCGAAATATTAGGAAGAGATCAACAGTTAATTTTTCTGACACTGTGTTACAGGATGGTTCTGTTACACCAAAACAATTGGCAGTTAGCCCAGATGTTGAGAGAAGAACCGTTATCATGACCCACACAGTAACACTAAAAACAAGGACACACGTTTTTAATTCTAAGTGAGAACTTCCGTTTTTTTGAGAAATCTGAAATTTTATTAAAAAATGAAAGTGATCCAATTGAAGAAACCGATCAGAGGATTCAATTCCTACTATGGTTTCACCACCACCAACTTCCAGTACAATGAGTACAGGGCACCTGAATGACATTAGCTCATCCCCACAAACAAGGACATTAAGGTCAGATTTAAAATCTAGCGTGTCCAGTTTAGATGCTATCCCGTCAAGACAGGTTTCACCACATCGGCATGACACACGTGTACCTGTCATTACTGCTCCCCAACATTTATCACACTCACGAGGTAAACACGTGACCACAACGCAAGTCGTACCTCCACCAGTAGTACCTCCACCAATAGTACCTCCACCAGTTATACCACGCAGATCACTTGGCATCGCAAATCGAGAGAAACAGAAATAAGGCAGTGGCACAAAAAGACACTAGTTGTCTATACTAAATGCTTTTATTTGTTTAAATATATTCGATCGTTCTCTGGTTTTTTAAAAAAAATTGTGATACGGTTGTGTGTAGTAGAACCAGCGAGGCCGCTGGCTTTCAAACGTTAGGGTGGACACCTATGTTGTAAAATATGACAATATGATGACATGACAGTGTTAACATGTCATAAAACACAAAAGTGGTGACAATTTATTTTTACAACGCCCATAACTTTTATGTACAGATCTCTGTACATGTTCTTGTTAAGACGTTACTAATGGCATATCAAGGTGCAACAGCGATATCTGAGATATGCTGTGAAATTATGAAAGTAAGATACAAATATAGAATTAATAGCATTTTTGTATTTTAAAAAAACATTTTGTCCGCAAATTTTGGGACATTGTGTATAGGCCAAGTTGCCTATGTTTAAAAACCAGGGTTCCCGTGTTGTTTTTTGCTGCATGTTTTTCCAGGTTAAACAAGGACATTGCTGTGCTATTGTTTTGTAGTAGGCCCAGCGAGGACGCTGTGATTCAAACAGTTGGGGTGGATGTGGCAATGTGCCATTATTTGCAACTGCTTTTAGGTAACACTTTAAAAGGGGCAGTATTCAACAGATAGGAATACGAGAATCCACTCTCATAGTCATAGTGTGACTGCTACGGGTAAACCCAAGCTCGTACACATCCATGGTCATTTAAAGTAACCCACAGCTGTGTACTGGTCGTAAATTTTATGTTGGTTATTTACACGCAGGAATAACCATCTCTGCCCCGGGGTTGACCCATGGTCAGCTCGGGGCGCGGGTTCCCTGTGACTGTGGGGGGGGGGGGGGCGGGGACTGGGGGGGTGTACTTTTTGAGTTTGTGGTGGGGAACGGATGCGTCGGGTCGGTGGCAGGTGTGAGAGATTTTCCTGTCGGCTCTGTCAACGGATTGTACCTTACATTAAAAAGCTATAGTTCTCAGACCTGCTTGTTTTTATTGTGATTTTATTTACAATGTAAGCTACGTCACCACTCGGGTACATCTATTTTTCAAAATTATTGTTCAAGTGTGTAAAATGATTGGGTTTTGATATTCAATGGCATACTTTTATAAATGTACCCAAGATTTGTTAACACCATTGATTTTCTTAATTGTTAAACATATTTTTATTTGTAAAAAGAGAATTTAACATCTCTTTTTTCACAAATGTAAAACCATAGGATTTAAATATATTGCCATTCACATTAAAATGTACACATCCTTTTTCCTATCTCCGATACGTATGTACCCGAGCCCAAGAAGGTTAATTATTTATTTATTTATTTAGGCATTTTTATATAGCGCTTACCTTAAAGCTCTAAGCGCTTTACAATTATTAAAAACATGTAAAGTAACTAAAATAAAAATGAGACACTAGGATAGTAAATACTATACTATAGAAACAATTAAAATGGCTATAAAACGAGGACACTTTTATCAAATTCATTCCTTTATTTTAAGACGTATCTTGTATTGCCTTGGACAATATGAACATACCCATAATTTGTAAAAAGAGAATGTAACTCTCTTTTTTTTCACAAATGTAATACAATAGGAGTTAACTCTGTTGTCATCCACGTAAGAATGTACTCACCTTATTTCATACCCCCGACATGTATTTACACAAGAAAATTAATTTTTATCAAATTCATTCCTTTAATTTGAGACGTGTGAACGTGTGCTGTGCTGCCTTGAGCAAAATGAACATACACTTATTTGTAAAAAGAGAAAGTAGCATCTCTTTTTCCCCAAATGTGATACCATAGGATTTAAATATATTGCCATCCACGTAAAAATGTACACGTCCTATTTCCTACCTCCGATATGAATGTACCCAAGAAAGTTAATTATTTATCAAATTCATTCCTTTATTTTGAGACGTATCTTGTGCTGTCTGGGGAAAAGTGACCAACCCCCCCCCCCCCAACCCAGATTTAAATAAATTTAGAAAATCTTCCACCGGATTGTAGTCCCTTCCATACCCAAACTAACATAGTTTGCACTTC